TCTGATGGAACAAAATCGGAATGCAAAACTTGGGAAGGAAAAGAAAGCTAGGCGGGTATGGCTAGGTGGTGAAGCGTGAATTTCTCGTCTTTGGTGCAAAGGAAATGCCCGGGTTCCTTCAGAATATGCGATCAAAAGGGTGATCAAACAATTTCCTTGGCGTTAGGGAGTTGAGAATATTAGATTCACGTCTAAAGATCTGGGAAAGAAGATCGATGAATTTCTACAAAATTGGATAAAAGTTGACGTTTCTTGCATTGCATGTGTCGAATGTAAAATTTTATATTTTTCAGCGTCGCGCTAACCTGCACGGAACCGGCGTCTGGATTCCGAAATTAGCAATGGCGCCTTCGAGAACCACGATATTCACTTCTATTCCACATATTTTGTCTCTTTTCTCACCTGTTTCTTTTTCGCCCATTTGGTGCGGGCACGGATCTTACGACCAGGTACCTCAATGAAAGCTGGATGCTGAAGATAGGATAGCATCAGCTAGTACACCTAGYTTTGGTTTAGCCTGCATCATCGACCCAAATATGATGCTTGTATATTTGGGTATCTTAATAAATGACAGCCACACGATGGAATGAAACCCGCGTTTATTTCAAATTAGTGTGAGTATTTCTGCTTATCCGTGAGATTACCTTTGAAATAGGAACAAAAAAGGATGCAAACTTTTTATAAGAAAGTGCCTGAATTTGACTCGATTTTCCTATGTGCACCGAGATGCACGCTTGAACTGATGCCCCTTTTCCGTGATTTTCCCTTCATTTTTGTGGTGAAAATTGTGGCGTTTCCAGCTTTGATGATTTGAAAGTTTTTCTGAAATTCAGTTTCCTTGCAAAAAGAAAAGGTGCCTTAGACCACCCGGATTAATTCAGGGCTTAAAGCGCAGCTTTAAAGCTTCGTTTTGTGCTTAAACTCTTTATATTTAACAGCTGGGAAATTAAGGCAATTTATTTGCCACTTTCCGGAGCTCGATCGCGCTATTCCAGATTGATTTGGAAATGCTTGATGGCAGCATCAAGTGCAGAATATATGTAACTACCACCTTGTGCTTCGATTTAAGAAGCCGAGATTCTATATTGGCATCAAGCCTTTGTTGTTGGAAATCATCCCCTTGTGTGTTTGAAAATTGACATTTTGGCTCATCTTTCTTTAACAGCTTCCAAATTTATTCTGCATGGTCGGAAACACCGAGATCAACAGGAACGGTAACATTAAACCCAATCAAGAACTTTTCTGCTTCGCATCCACATGTAATGCCAAACCCGCCCCCTCCTACTAATCATTTGAACAAGAACATTTTATAAAATTTGATAGATGTATGGAACATGTATCGCTTTAATTGCTGTGCTGTGATGGTAGCAAATGCTCAAAATGGCAGTCAATTTTGAGTAGGCAGCAACAAAGTTTCTTCTTCTCCAAATTGCTATAAATTATTAAATTGGACTGAAGCGCGTTACACATGGCCGCGAGTCCTGCATTAGGGTTAGGGAAATGGAGGGGAAACCCTGTGCGTTGCAATGCATACGCCACATGCCATCTTGTACTAGGGCCTTGTTGAAGGAGGTTCGTTCCCCTTTATGAAGGACCAAGCCCATTTTAATGCTTTTATTACCTGGGGTTAGAGAAGTTTGTGCTATATAACACGTGAGGCCACCTCAATACACACGATCCTGATCCCGGTGGCCTCAAAGACTTTAAGCAATCCGGGTTTCAGTGTCGCCAATTTCAAGATTACAAAGGTATAGCGCTAAAAAGATATCTCACAAATCAAGTGTACAGAATTTTTCTTCACTTCCGCTTTGTGAATCACAACTCCCGTAGAAAGACATTGCGAGCCTGTGGCAAACTAAGGAAAAAGAATACACCCATCATTTGTTTTGATAAATTTTCTGAATTTTCTCACCAAAAGAAAAGTTTTTTCGCTAATCAAGCACATCGTGGCCTGATAATCTACTTATTTTTGAGCGGAACTAAATAAAATTCAACTACCCTTTTATTCGATCCCTCAAACGGATATCTTTTCGCTACTTTTCGGAAATTTTGTTTGAGCCGTTTTTGCAACACTTTGATCTCATATCATTCAGATTCATATGATGACATAGGATTCGATGCCATGGGATTCGATGCCATGAAGATACGACAGCCCTCTGTAAATGTGTCAAACAGATGTTTGAGCGTGGAAGATTCAGATGAGTTAGCGAGAAAATATCCTTCACATGCAATGAAAAAGTCTTTTAAAGCTGTGTGCAAGGGTTGGTTAATGCCTGGAATACTGGAATTGGGAGCGATTATACGATGCCTGTGCATGGCCATGGATGCTTCGCCTCACTAAAATGGGGCTGTGCGATCCTGGTAGCCCTAAACTAGCTATTCCACAATGGGAAATGCTTGGTATGCGATTATCACTTGACGCTTTTAAAAGCTTTAATTTATTCTTTTGGGATGGGACTTTTCGACTGCACTTTTTCACCTACTTCACATTTCGCTTAGGGAACATCCATCTTATCAAATTAGAAAATGATTCTGAAATCATCTCTTATGCTTTAGAAGAGAATAAATAGACCAAAAAGAAAAAGGATACTAAAAATCGTTTCGGAAACAAAGTTTAGGGACAATCCCAACTCAAAAACTAAAATGAATCCAATATCGAAAACAAGGTGAATCACCAAAAAGACGAAATGGAAGAATGTAACTAATTGATCGAAAATACCTATCGTATTTTCTGGCTTTGAATGGCTTCTTATTTCACTTATAAACCAAGATAGCTTGGGAAAATCATTATTTTTATAAAAAACTAGCAGGGCAAGCGCAGAATAAAAAAGATTAGAGATCGACATCAAGGGTTTCAAAGTGATATTCTCGATAGCTTGATCACCAAAAAAGGGTGTCAAAATTGTCAACCACTTCTCAGCAGCGAGCTCAAAAATATGCCAAAAATCCAAATAGGACAACCAAAAGTTGATTAGACGAGAAATTTTGAATGTAAATTCCGAAAATGTATATTTTGCTGCAGAAACAGGGGCAACTGAGTCTTTTGGCTTTAGGGGCAGAAGAAGAGCTAGGGAGACCGAGACAACTCCACAGAACGCGCTAAAAAAAGGATACATTTCCCGAGTAATTATTGAAGTATATGCTTTATAGAATTGTTGAAGCCATGTACCGTTTTTAAACTGGCGCACATGTTCAGAGAGATRATYAATAGCTGGTGTCAAGAGCTTCTTATAAATGAATGGGTTAAACAAAACCAAATAGAGGGTGCATAATAAAATCCACGTCTTAGCCATTAAGAAAAACGGATACCGGATGCTAAATATCATTTCCTTTATACTCGGAAGAAGCTTTTCATCTTGTTTGACACCTGAATTGATAAACTGTTTTTTTACTTCAAACTTGGCTTCTTCAGTTTTATTTTTATTTCTTCCTCTATTTGTAGTCTCCACTGAAGGAAGAGAAAAAAAGGCGATCAGAGTTACGAGAAGTAGAATCTTTTGAATGTTCATTGATGCGAGAAGTTTGGTGAAAAAGCTGCATGCATTTTATACTCTGTTTTGCATCAAAAATTTTGCATCGAATCGAAATATTAAATTTAATAATTCTTCAAATCACCCATTAAACTCTGAAAGTTAATTACCAGGTCGCCCTACTTTTCACTTCATTCACCAAGTAGTTAATTACTTGTATTCGGGATTACTGAAAAGATAAAATCTAGCGCAATCAACACAAGCACATTTGATTTCTGCTACAATCAGCTAGCTCAGGATGTGCGGATGCATCAATAATTCGCCCATCTTCTGAACAAAGCAAATAACTGCATTATCGGCGTTCCCTCCAGACTTTATTGAGGATATTTCCAATAATTCTTCGACAACCTTTTATCAAATGGGTATCATTGTGATCGGGGCCGATGTCTGCCGTTATTCAGCAAAGAGAAATTGGCCTCAAATATTGATCTTACCAGAGCATCAGGTGAACTTTGATTTCGATCTGTCAAGTTTTCTTATAATTAACTATTTTTTGTCACATTCAAAAGATAGCCATTCAATATATTATCAAGCTTCCCTCTAAATTGAAGTTGATAAGCTTTTGTCACAAGATATTCGAGATCACGCTATTTAACCTGGAGCATCTTTCGCAAAATAACCGATTCAATCTCAGTAAATTGAAAAGGGACACTATTGTACAAGGAAACGTATTCTATATCCATGTCATAGTATCTTAAAAAACGAGCCAATAGGCCAGGGCACGGTCAACTTCTCGATGATGGACTTCAATGTTCAAATGATCATCTTTACACGTGGCCTTGAGAAAGGTAAAAATATATAAATCTCCTGGTTTTGACAGAGGTACTTGAATAATAGTGTGGAAGACTTTTTCAGCGAACACAAATAAAAATGGCAAGTTTGAGGAGGCAAACAAACTAAATACTTGTAGCGATATTTTTCCGATGCAAAACCAGAGAATTCTTGAGATAAAACATACTGCAGACCACTTAAAGATGCAGCTGAAAAGATTTTTTTATATTGACTCTCACCGAGCTTAAAAGTAAAATATGCGTAATAAGATGAAAAGGAACATGTTCCGGTTCTTTTTGAATCAATAAAAACGTCATACATTTCATTGGGCCGATCAAAATCGCCCAAAAGTCTGGGATAGAAGCTCTTGATAAGCTTTTTATGTCGACCAAAACTCAATGCGGCCCCAATCCAGCGTTGGTTTATAAGAAAGGGAGGACCTTCCTATATGACCACTGGTGAATATTTTATCTTTGGACCAACATGGTATTCTGGATGATGCTCTAACCTATCGCCACTGTTGTAAACAAGGACTTTCCATAAATATTTATACTTGGGATTAGGAGAGGCGACCTTGAAAATTTCACACAATATTGCATGTACTGTAGGTCCACAATAAAAAACGACAGACTTTTGCTGATCTCCAAAGACTTTTAGGTTAGTATCATATGGCAAAGGTTTCAGATCTTTTACCTTCTTATAAAGATCAGATGGCTCAAAGTTAGAGCTTTGTATAATTGTGTATATAATCTTATCGTAGACCCCTGAGCTAATGGCATATTCTTTATTGCGTGGATTTTTTCTAGAAATCGAAAATATGATCTTAATGGCTTCATTTGCAGCTACTCGATTTTGTTCCTCAAATACTTCCGGGGTAAAATCGTCTCCTATGAACAGGAAAAGATCTCTAATGCCTAGTTTTTGGGTTGACACCGTATGAGCAAGTAATCCAACATATATGAGTGCAAAATTGGTAAGTATCTTCATCGTTTCCGTGCAGTAAAAGCGGCCTGAGATGTAAAATGCAGTTTTTAATTAGTGATATTAAAATGAAGGCTATTGGCGCTGATGTACTCCGCAGATCACGTGCAAATCGAACATTTAAACTTTCCCGAATCTGCTTACATTTTACAGATTTTAAATTTTAATATTACAATTAAGGGGCCTACAATTCTATGCTTATGGCGACCACGCATTTGTCATGAGATTCCGGAAAGTAACGATCGGCTATCGGTTATTTTCTCGTATTTTTGAGAACTTCATTCGTTCTTGCACACTTTTAATTCATTTAAAGCTCCAATTTATCCACTCGAGTCAAATTAGCTTACACATTTGCAATAGCCGATCTTGTGTTTAGTGTTTTAGTTACACAGCACACACCCGCTAATTAGCTCCTCTTGAGTATTTCCGTTTTGGATTGAATTACTAAACCCAATAAAATCTGTTGATTTATGCTTAATAAGCTGCTAGCTCGCGGTCAATTGATAGCTCTTTGCAAAAACCAGGGTCTGATCCCGACCTAAAGCATAGTGATCAGTCAAACCCTGGCTCGCTCGAATTATAAAATAAACAGCCGCCTAAAAACTACCCCCTAAACCCAACCAAACCAAGTGTCCCTTTGCATAACTCTGGTTATTACGACATAAAGGATATTAGATTATAACCCTAGCCATCCTGATCGGGGTTCTCCTTATAGTTATCCCCAGTTTTTGACGACATTTTTAAGTGTGTCGCTATATGATGGAAGCAGCTCCGAGCGTTTACTGCCATTAATTGCATCATATAACTTGAATGAGGGATCATCGTTGCATTGCGCAAAGGAATTAGTGGCAGCAACAAGAATCTAGCCAAGAATCTTGGGAACTTGATAAGAAAAAAGCAGCAACTATCCAAGATTTGTGCGCATGGCCCTGTTGAATTGAGATTCAAAATCAAATTATTGGCTAGGGCGATGCGTCCCGTATAACACACTTCAACCTAACAAGCAGATGGTTCAGTTAAAAAGTTAGTTGATGCAGTTATCTTCTGTTTGAAACATATTCATTGAAGACAGCATTGAGGAGGTAAAGAATCCCTCCTTTATGTGGTCAAGAGCTTTAGCTTGATGGAATCACATGCATTAAACCCTAAATCCAACCAGATGGTCTTTATCGGTCTAAATTGCAACAAAGGCATTCTGAAATCAAATGTATTGATCATTTTGAGCCTATTTGGCTGTTGTTGTTTACATGTGCATCAATGTTGTTAATTACAACCCTAACTCCAAATTTACCAATCCGTGTCCTCTTAACCTTGATTTTGGTCTTGAAAACCTATGGCCGCAATACATAGACGTCCTCGGTCATTTGGAGAGCCTCATAAAGTATTAAAAGTTTGTGATATAATTAAATGCTATAGCAGCTCAAAACACACAACCAGACACGAAAACGATGGACATATGCCATATCTTTCAAATTCTACTTTATTTGACCTCTTATTTTGGGAATGAAGATTTTTTGCGATTAAGGACACCAGAGGCAGCAACAGAATCAATACCAGCAACAGAAAGGCTATCATCTACCACAAGATTCTTGGTAATCAATTTCTTTGCAAGATTTAATTCTGCATTTCCATCATCAACAGTGCTGAACGGACCATAAACAATAGCTTCGTTTGAAGGCTGATAGATGTATATGGACACATTTCCGCCTGCCAGATTTGTTGGAAACCAGTTAAATATAAGTGAGCCATATTTGGAAACATCGGTCGTTGCATTTGGAGAGACAATGCTGAGGTTTTGAGCATAGCGAAGGATAAATGGAGACGATGTGCCAGCACCCAACTCTGAGCTTACAATAACATGGTAAGTTCCGACTGGAATATTCAACTCGGAAATATTAACATCATAAGATCCGGTGTTTTCAGCTATCTTCACAACTTCGGCACCTGTATTATTGTTGACCAGAGTAATCTCAACAACCTCGCCATCTATATCGAATGGAGCCCATTCGACACGGATTGCTTCTGTGTTGTTGAAAATAGATGATGTGGCATTTGGAGAAGAAACAACTAAGCCAGAACTGCTGTAGATGTACAAATCCGAGATTCCATTGCCCATATGTGACTCAATAGCAATGCCATATAGGCCCAGAGGCAAGTCCATTTTAGTAAGATCAAGTGAGTGGGAGCCGTTGTTCTTGACTTTTATTGTGTAAAGTTTAAACTCCTCTTTGTAGATACAAAGATTAACCATGTTTTGATATTCATCGTATAGATTCCAGGATACTGTGGTTTTGGGATCGGCAGAGGAGATGTTGTTTGGATTAAGAGTGACTTCAAATGATTTCCTAACTTGAAAAATCTCGGAAACACCACTGCCAATTGAAGAGTTGACAATGACCTGATACGCACCGGGTGCAGAAGTAATATCGGCAGTTAAAGAGCCAGTATCAGCGATATTGGATTCGATCGATGTGACTGTTCCATTTGAAAGACGAATGATGGAAACATTTGCGAGACCCAGGGTATTAATTGGCTGCCAAGTAATACCAAGCTTTTGTCCATGAGATAATTTTACCGTGTTGAGCGTGATTTTGAGTTCGTCTTTAGAAAGGACAGTGAAAGTGTTTGATATGCTAGAACCAAATTTATTTGAGACACTGATATTGAAGTATCTGAGAGAAGTATTTAGATCTCCAAAATCCTCCAACTTAACCGTTGCAGTTCCATTATCTTTAACAGTTATCTGAGTGTAAACAAAAGTTGGATCTTTTAAGCTGATGAGAACAAGTGTAGCCTCTGCTTCAAACCCAGCGGAGAAATTCCAAGTTATAGAAACACTAGAGTTGGAATAAATGGGAGCAGTGGTATCAACCACCACAGAAAGGCCCGTGGAGTGGATAACAAATGTGCTGGAAGTTCCATTTGAAATAGAAGAGGTGATATTTTCTGCGTAAACACCAGGTTGCACTGAAGTTGAAGCAGCAAGGGCAGTAAGAAAAAAGCAAACTAACGCAAAAACACAGAAAAAATTCTTTGATATCATAAGGCGATGACTACTCGCGATAGAAACGGCATATTTATAGCCAAAATGTGCTGTGTTTGTTTATAGCCAAAGAAATAAACAAACTGTTATGCATGTGAAAAATCACAAAAAAAACAAATAAACAACCAGATGGTTAATCACGAGCCATTCAAGAGGCTATGAGTAAATAGTCTGTTGAATGTTTTGAAGCCCCAATTTATCACAAACAACCTTTAGCTTGCCTCTCGTTTTACATAAAAATCGTAACCCTATACAAGACATAGTGATGATGCCTTAGCTCACACCCTTTTCGATGTGCTTTATATTTGCTTGATATAGTTTACTGGGCAAACGAACAGGTTTGGATGCAATCAAGCACGCAGACAACAGCCTATAGGTGTAAGTCTGCTCAAAAAAATCAAGAATCATCAACTCATTTGAAACACGGATTTCAAAGTCATCATCACAGCAATTGTACACGCGGTACCGTACCTCTACAACGGTAAATAAGCAATGCAAAATAATGCCAAAATAATGGGTGTCATCCACCCATAAATGCCAGAAAAGAGCCTACCCTTTTCGGCATGAGCAATGAAATCCTCTCCATTCGCTGGAAATGCCTTGCGTTGGCTTCGGTTGCTAACAATCCTAAAAATCAGAAGGTTTCAGTCGGTGGTGCATGTTTTGTAATCACAAGGCATCATCAAAATAATGGAAGTGTGCATCATAAACATTCTTACCTGCTTGCATCCCGATAAACACACAATACACGAATGATGGATTAAATGCATCGAGCGTATGTCATCGTGGAGGCTTTAGAAAACACTGCGCATCCACCACATGCTTTAAATGGCTGCCAATTTTAATTTGCAAAACTGGGCCGTTTTTCACTTGATGACTCCGTCGACCTTGTTTGCTGCTCTTGCGGTCTTATTCTGTGCGAGGTCTCGAATTTCGAAATCTCCAGCACTCAAACGAGAGCTCCTATATCTTTGTCGCTTCCCTTTCGATATCGCTTCAAGGAGCCATTAACTGTGAAAATGAAAAGGCTAATTGCTGGAATATGCACTCCGCTTGGGCTGTCGTCGATTATTTCAGAGTGCATTCACGTCTCCACAACTCTTTTGGAGCAGGGATACAAGGGACGCTTTTCAAAATGCATCCCACCCGCCTCGATTTACCTCGTAATGAGGAGAGAAGGGAAATCCGTCCCTTTGGGATACCTGTCATCGATAGCAAAGGTTCCCGTTTCCGCTTTTGTAAAGTGTGCCCAGAAATTTAAGCCGCTATTTAACACTCGCCTCGAAACTTGCGTATCGGTGTGTCCCTGTGCAAATCTTTTCGAAGTGTATCTCAATCAAATCATAACCGGTTCTGAAATCCATTTTTGCTCAACTTTGCCATCAATCCAACTGCTATTGCCGATGATAAAGTCTCTTTTTGATCTGATATACACCCACTCCTTTTTATCGCAAGGTCGAAAGCCGGAAATCTTCGCCCTTGCTCTTGTGTTTATCGCTTTGTACGCATATTTGACTTTTCCATCTGAGCTGCATGATTTATGTACCAAAGCTTGCAAGCTAAATTTAGTGACGAAAAGAAGGGTGCTGCTTTGTTTTGATGAGATTTCAAATTTTCTCGTAAAATCCTTTTCCATTCTCAAAGTGCATACCCACCATGTGGATCCCTATCACTTTTTGGTTTATTTACCTTCCTTGCTCAAGTTTGTTCCGCTTGTGTCCTACTGCCTTCTGCATCAGGCCACTGCAGCATCTCCCAAAAAGGAATCAAACCCCTCGCTCTCGCTATGTTCAAGAATTGAAATGGCCCAAGAATGGGTTTCCAACCTCTGCTCAAACCCTTCACCTGTTGCATTGGTGTCAAATGGATCTTTGGCGACGGGCCCTTCATGTTCTTCCC